AGAGCACAGTTCTTCTAATCTATTTTGCAAAACAAAGGCCTTGTTAATGTTCAGTCTAAGCATAATCTAAACCAAAGAAGACTATTAAACACAATTGCTGAAATACAAGGAGTTACCCTCCTGGAGCATTCTGGTTGTACAATTTGAACACACAGACTTTCAGGAACTGTAATCCATTTATTCCTTGCCAAGCCAATGACATAAAGTCATTTGATAGATACTGAGATACATTCATTTTCATTTTCACTTGAAACATACTTAAATATGACTCCAACATAGACCAATATAATTCATCACCAGCAGGAACATTCCTCCATTAATTTCCTTTTACATAATGCTGACATGTAGATTTGCAGGGTTCTTCGGTGGCGCCAGTCATCACTGCACAGGTAAGTTCTGAACATATGTCCAGCTAGAATGTAAGGGGAGCTTTGACTGTGAAAATAGTATAATTTGGTTTGTATATTCATAGAATAACTTAAGTTAGAAGAGACACCTGGAGTTCATCTGTTCCAACACCCTGCTCAAAGCAGGGCCAACTTTGCAATTATCTTTATAGTTGGTTATATCTATAAAGTTATCTTTAATATCTTTTGGATGCCTGGAGGAATCATGCAAAAAAGCAATTTTAAATAATAAAAGGAGAAAGGTTTCCTCCTCCAATATTGCAGGAGCTTAATGTTAGACTATGAGTCATTCCTTGGAGAAGTTTCTCACTATGCCAACTAAAGGAAAAGCTGAGCTGACTAGCCTCCCAAGGCTACAATCAGCCCTTGCTATTTCTTGAGGGTGTAATATCTCTAAATCCCAGTTTATCCAATTGCCCCCACATGAATATATCTGCGCACCATGATTGATATATCAAACAATATATGTACATACTCTTAAAATTGAGATCGTTAACAACCCCAAAAACTTCAGTCACTTCAATCATTCCTAGCATATGAATAGTTCTATCAAATACGACCTTTTCACGGAAAAATTCTGTATGAATATTTTTTAAGCCCTGGGATTAATGCTTTTTTAGGTTTATTGATCTATACCACATCACCTAGTGGTTTAATCAACAGGTCACCTACACACTGCAATGTGAATTCAGTTGATATACTGCCGTGCTTATGTTACAAAATTATTTCATTATGTGCCCAGACCTCCTAATTGTGAAACACTAAGGGATATTCAGCATAAACCTGGCTGTGGTGGAAATTTTATTACAACTTTGCTTTGCAGATTAATAATTTTTTTTTCCTCTGAGTAGCTTTTACGTATGACTGCATTTGTACTGCTTCTAAAATGGATATATCAGGTAACAGAACTTTCTTTTTCCAAACAGGCAAATGGTTTAACTATGGAATTATCTTCCTTGTTTTAATCTTGGATCTGAATATGTGGAAGAACCAAATATTTTACAAACCTCATGAATATGGCCAATATATTGGACCTGGACAGAAGATCTACACAGTGAAGGACTCAGAAAGCTTGAAAGACCTTAATAGAACTAAGCTGTCTTGGGAGTGGAGATCCAATAACACTAACCCATTGACCAACCGGACCTATGCTGAAGGAGACATGTTCTTGCACAGCAGATTCACAGGCTCTAGCCTTGATGTCAAATGCCTGGCTTTTATTCCAAGTTTGCTGGCTTTTGCTTTGTTTGGTTTCTTCATCTGGTTCTTTGGGCGATTTCAGAAAACTGACCAAGGCATGGAGAATTTAGACAAATCATACACGAGAATGAAACGAAAGTCACCATCAGATATGGGAATGACACGAGAAAATACACAGGTGTTAGTAGAAGAACCTTTAAGTTTTCAAGAACCACATCTTGTATCCATAAAATCAGACTTAAGTGAAATAGTTTTTAATTCTTCTCTCCTAACTTCTGAAAACTTGAACGCACAACTGAATGAACAAGATAGCCCTTTACAGCCAGTACCAGAGTCCTCTGTCCCTAAGAGTAATCCTGTGACATAGAGGCAAATACCCAGGAAAATCAGTTTAAATAAGCAGTTACTATAAGATTTCAGTTTTACCTTTTGTAAGTTAAGATTTACATAGTGTTTAGAATAAGAAACTCAACCTATACCAGAAGGTGCTCAGCATGCTTTTTCTAGGAATTTTGTTTTTTATTTGTATTATAGTATGTGCCTACTGTATATCTAACATTCCTTTATAGATTGCTTCCCAAAATTGCACAAGCTATTTATTAATACATTACTTTAACTGTATAATAGTGTATTAGATGATTACTTGCAGGTATAAAATTCTACCGTGGTGGTGCCTTGAGACATTAAACTGTTTTTTAACTCAACACCAGATGTAGAGCACAGTTCTTCTAATCTATTTTGCAAAGCTTTTTGTATATGGTTATTTCAGGTATCATTTGATGCCTTGACAGAGGAGATAAATATAGTTATTCCTAAAGAAGGGTTTCTGTTAGGACATCACAACTTGACTTTGTTATTTACTCTTCTGTGAAGCCAGTGACTTTGATGACCAGACAGCAGAGAAGCATGTTGATTACCTTTTAATTTTTGCTGGCTAGCTGCCAAACACAAATACAGATTCATTATGCGGTAAACAGCAGAGTGATAATACAGCATGGGTCACTACTTGTGAAAATATGACTTTCTCCATCAGTAATAGCAATTAGGTGATAATGCCTAATTATATTTTTTCTAATTAAAGATAAACTGTTCCTTGATTAAAAGTTTTGCCCTTCACCTTTTAGAAACAGAGGTGAAAATACATGGTCGAAGCAACTCTTTCCATCATCATACCAAGTCTATGCAACGTCAAAGAGCCAATGGAGTGATTGCAGTAAAGGAGACAAATCCCATTAAATCTGGTATTTGTGAGGTTTGGTGCAGATATGGTCTGGGCATACATGAAACATACATACAAAACACATCACACGTAGACAGTCTACCTTCTCCAAATACTGAAGAAATGTTTAGGGGTTTTAATTAAAACAGATTTATAATTCAATTTTATTGTACTCTTTTTTTCCCCTTCATTCATTTTCCATGAATAAGTGTAAGCTGGAAGCAGAGACACAGAGAAACTGGGGTTTTTGCTTTTTTGAAGGGGACTTTGTAATGTGAATTCCTTTGGTGTATGATCAAACTATATGCACTAGAGAAATTGCCTATCTAAAACATCAGAAAGACTCTGATTTGCCTCTAATTTAGTTCTATAAATTGTTGTTACAAGTTACTAAATAAGAAGTCATTTTTAAGTCTGAATTATTTCCCTGTCATTTACTGGTGTTGGTGTATTTTGTCTTTGTGACTTTTTTATCTCTGTTGTTTTGATCTATCTGCTTTTAAGTTTTCGGAATGCTGAATTTAGCATGCATAATAGAACTATGCATTTATTAACTGTCACTTGAGAGCCAATTTTAATAAATATCATTCAACAATTGTTTATTATTAGGCAGGAACATATTCTGTTAGTTTTGCTGGTTTTTTAAACGTTTTGCCCATGCATTGTCCTATTTAAAATCATACATATTTCTGACACTAACTAAGACAGGCAGTATCACAGTAATGTCAAAATCAAATATTTTGCTTATGAAACGTGTAATATTTCATCAGGAGAAAGTTCACTTTTTAATAAGACTAAATTTTTGTCCATTAAAAATTATGACTAGAAATAAATCTATTTGCTTTTGCCTACTGCAGCCTATAAACTTATTTAATTGACATAAGATATAGTCAAAGACAAGCTATTAATTACTAATGGTAAAACACTCTGAGATCCTGCTTTTACTATATTAGAAGTGACTATATCGATGTTTGACTTTCAAACAGCACTTGATTTTTCAAGTAGTTAGAGAAATAGCTGACTCATTTTGCAGATACATGCTTCTCTGTATGTTTTGGACACTGTAAACCCAAATACTGAAAATCTTCCGTTAGCTCATTTCTCCTTTTTGTGCATAGGAGTGGTTAAATCCATTAATATGTAGGCAGAAAATGAAAGAATTACTTGAGCCTTACAGCCTGCATGATTACATGACTCTGAGAAAACTGTTATTAAGCAACTGATCCGCAGCTAAAATAATTCTGTGACCTCACATTGAGTTAATGCTGTTAAGGTCATCATAAGCCTGCATGAAAGAGAGAAACGCGGCAAGTAATCCTGGATTTTGCGTGAGTATTTAAATTAACGGTCAAGCAGAGAGACTGCTTATATCATGAAATCATAAAGAATTTAACAGATTCAGTGTAGCTACTCACCATGGTCAACTCATCAATTTAATGAAAGGAGAAAGGACTCCTCAGTTGTGTGGGAGTCTCATTTGTAAACAGAAACACAGATGGGAGAAGAAAGGAGTGTTGCCACTCTCCACTTCCAGTACTGAGTTTGAGCAGCCTGGATTAGGTGACTAGGCTTTCCCTAAGCTCCTTTGGAAGCAGATAGAGACTTGCTGAGCTGAACACCCTGAAGGTGATTCAGTATCTTCGTTATTTATCTCTGCATTAGTAAGTAGCCCAGGTCAG